AAACATTTTGAAAGTTTTCACCAAAAAGCTGAAATTAAGTGAAAGCTGCCAAACATGCCTGTGAAGTTATTTTGATGATGAAGATGATGAACAGCGTAAAATGTGTGATTTCAGTATGTAAGTAAAAATATAAAGCGCACCAGGAACCGGTGACTCTGCTACAGTTTTCTGCCTCTGTTCTGGTCCCCGGGCCACTGCTGGTTGTTTTCTCCTTTCGTTGGGCGGAACAATTAACAGCTTCCAGGTGGCTATTGTTTCCGCCGGACCGTAGACACAGACGGACCAAACAAATCAAAAAGTTCTCCGCCTGAAGTCAAAGCGGAAGATTAAATTCTGCTGTCGGGACGAAAAAATGAAGTTTCGGGGGAAAATCATCGACATCGCCTGTTTGAACCACTTCACCCGTGAGTCTGAAACATCTGTTTGTACCGAGAGCCGAAGCTAAGCTGTTAGCTTCCCTCCAAATGCTGCACAGAAACTGTAAAAAAATAAAATGACATCTAATTAAAAGTTCCCGATGTTCTTTCTTTGGCGTTTCTGACATAATAGGAAAAGTCTGTAGTTCGGTTTACAGCATGTGCTCAAAGAGCCGCAGACTGATTACTGTTATCTAAATTTAACAAAATCTACATGGAGTCTGGTGCAGGCCTATGAGTGCACATTTGGACTGATTCATGATTAATTACCACAAAAATATCAGCTATAAGTTTATGCTGCGTGAGTAATCTGTTATTTACCGGCTCTGTAAAAAAGCTATCTGCTCTAGTTTTCCACTTTCAGTTTTACTGTTAAAATGTTTAGTTTTACTTAGTTTCCAACAGTTGTAATATTAACTGTAGATTTATTGTTTTTAGTGTGTTTATCACGATCAAGTTTTTCAGAAGTGCAGATCAGAGATCTGATTAAAGTAAACTATTATTATTATAACCGAGTCTGCGTGTGACTGATTAAATATTCCTCCCGGTTCACACCTCTGATCTCTCTCACCAGGAGTCGTCACCACCATCTCAAAGCTGACAAAGATGTGCGTCCTGCGGCTGACGCCGGACAACCTGTTCTTCGTTCTGTCCGGTAAAGTGGCCAACGGCGGCGTCAGCATGTGGTGTGAGCTGTCACAGGTGAGAGCCGACGCTCCGGCTTCCAGCTGCTAAGAAAATAAGAGTCTGAGATGATCAGGAGCGTAATAAATGACCCTGATCCCGTCCTTCCTCGCGCAGGCCAACTTCTTCGACGAGTACCAGATGGAGGGCGTGTCCTCCGAGGACAACGAGATCTGTCTGGAGGTGACTCCGGAGAATCTGTCCAGAGCCCTGAAGACGGTCCAGAACGCCAAGGCGGTCAAAGTCAAACTGACCAAGAAGCACTGCCCCTGCCTCACCATCGCCGCCGAGCTGGTGAGAG